TATGATATTACTCAGGTGACCGCTAAGGCCCTTGGGCCTCTTGTTACATTATGTAGCTGCCATACTGATGATGATGTGGTATATAATTATGTATATATTATATAGCTCCTCGATGCCTGTGCTGATGCTTTGGTGTTTGGAGCTCTTGAAAAATGTCCAGAGTGCAAGAAGGGACAGCTTGTTTACTCGTAAGTTCTTCACCTGTCCGGAATGATAAATTGTTCTGGGGAAATTGAAAAAATAACTGTATCAGGGAATACCAAAGCTAGCCTTAAACCCACTTACAGATTTATAGACGACTTTTATGTATTCTATAATGCATCTGTATGTTTTGAAAATGTTGATCTGGCGAATCTCATTTCGTTATGGAAGTGAGATAGTATTGAGACGGATAGTAATACATCTTTAACACATCTCTCAGCCAGAGAAAGGCACCAGCTATTCAGGAAAGCGGTCGCTAGACAACATTTTAAGAAGAAAAATATTTTCCATCTGTGCTTATTATGTCTATTGAAAACTTGAACAATGAAAACAAATTCTTCCTTCTCAGAGCTGTTGGGTACAAATGTTCAGGGGACATGACCGAATGGACCAAATGTATGTATATCACAAAGACGCCCAAAAGGAAGACCTTCAAAATTCCCAAGGAGTACCATGATGTCCCATACCTGTGAGTACATACTGATCATAGTTCTATGAATGCCACTGCTTGCTTGGTTATGACATCATATCTATGATAAGATAGAATACCATTGACCCTTAACATTATATTTTCTAAAATATTAACATATTATTAAATGGTAATAAAAACTTGCAGCATTATTCTGTTTGTATTCATGCACTATTGATTAATGCAAACTGTTTTACCAAATGGTGGAGCAGTCAATTTTACAGGGAAAATGTTTTGATGGTTATCATTTCCATTAAGTGACGAATATCGATTAAAAACCATTCAGGAATTTTTGGCTAACTTTGAATATGAAGTCATGACATAATTTGTCCTAGATTACTCTAACCATGTGATGTTATGACCTGATCATTTTCCTATTGGAAAATATTTATGTTTATTAGTTCTCGCTGTTGTTTTGGTATTTTGAGTTTGATTGTGACTGTTTTCAATAGCCATGCAAGAGTTACATCCCTTTCACTTTAGCCGTTTTGCAACAATATATGAAAAATATACTGAATTGATTTGTAAACACTAGCAGACATTTGGCTTAATTTGTTCATTAGTTTAGTGTAGGGATATGATCAACACTGTTAAAAGCTTGAAATTGTGTCAAATTTGGTGGGGACATTTTTTTATACATTCTAACATTTGGTTAAAAAATAGATATCAGTTAGGTGAAAGACTTGGTCCACTTCAAGGACTCGCAACAAAATCAACCAATCAGTATGGTTCCCACTAGAAAATAATGTATTTATAATGGTATTAATTGAAATAGTTGATGTGTGAAGGTATATCAACACGAAGATTGATTTTATCAGGCTATAACTATCTGTATATAACATAGTCTTAGTTTGTAATTGTTACTGGTCATGACTGCCGATAGATGTATCATTGTTAGTTGTTACTGTTTGAATACAGGGAAAACACAAAGCTGCATTACTCTTTAAGTAGTCAAACACCGATAAGTTATACTTGTCTGAGATTCGTAAATGAAATGAATTTAATAGTGTAGTGGAATATATATGGTATGTTAAAATAATGATATATTTTTTCTTTCAGAAAAAGTTTCAAGTTTCAGAAAAGAGAACGATTATTTAATTCTGCTGCAGTAGCAAGCTCTCTTGAGGGTTCCATGGATACAATGGATTCTGGAGCTGGGTCAGTAAATACGTAAATAATAAGCAGCTGATTGCTAAATCTGAAGTTCTTCTAGAAACATTATCTAGGCAAATCAATGTAAACAAAAAAGTGTAAAATTGGAAGGGCCTGACTCTGTGTAGTCTGATTGTCAAATGTTCAAACCAACACGTCAAACTCGACCGACCCTATGCTGAAAACAAACATTTAGTATGATAACAACAAGTTTTGTTCCTGGTTTGAGTTTGGTGGACATTGGTCAATGTTAAATGATCAAACATCCCCAAAGATAATTACAGCATAGTATTTTTAAAAAAATTCTACACAGCAGATTTTGGTGGTATTCAATCCATGTTAAATGGTCAAACACAACCACTTTTTCACCATAGTAACATGACATTCTACACTGATCACTGATTAGTAGTTATCGGTCAAGGCAAGACTCAAACGTCACATGTGACCTCTTTGGTGGGAGTGTGACTTTGTGATTCCATGTTCACTTGATCTTTATCATGTGATTGTTTCAGGCCATCTTCATCCATAAAATCATTGGAGGGAATGAAGTTTGTTATAACAGGAAAAACGGCAAAACCTAAAGAGGAGCTTGCTCGGGAGATCACTCGACTCGGAGGATTTGTTGTAGATAAAGTATCATCTGATGTGGCAGCTTGTATTACTACAAAGAGTAAGTGTAGACCAGGATGGACTAGTGTAAGTGTAGACTATAACA